TAATAATTCTAGGAAATATAAGTTATCGTAATGAAACAGTAATTAATTCGAGCCCACTGAATTTACAATATTTCCTTAAGGAATTTAATCCCCTCCTAGTACCCAAGGTTATGGATTATTTCCTCCCAGGATAGAACGAATCACACACTGGTGTAGCGGTACTTCAAACCCCAGTGTTTCAGCGAACACAAAGTTCGGTAGCAAATCACACTTACAGTTGCTTTGTTTGAAGTTAAAACAATGCAGAACAAAGGAGTAGAAACTCAGAAAATCGTATGGAAATGCTGAGAGGAAGGAGTGCAATGTATAGCCAAAGTTGAGCGTTTTCAGTTTGGTGTTTCTTTCTTCAACAGTTGCTGCACATATTTATAGCAGTCAGCTTTGAAGATGAACGACCCTCCACCCTCCATGGTGGAGCATGCACTAGCTTGTTTGTGGAGCAAGCACTTGGCCATGGTGGGAAGAGCATTAGGCGGCTGCTATTGCAGCTGGTGGTCAATACACGGATTGGAACATATCCGTTACAAATGCGGATAATCTTACGTTAATATTTACTATTAACAAATTAATTTGGTCCAAAAAATTAATCAATCGATTATTTGACCAAATCCAAATCGAAATCCGAAGCCGAAGCCGAGGCCGAGGCCGAGCCGAGCCAGCGACGACAACGACGGCGCGAGGCTTGCTTTCTCCTTAACTCTTTAAGAGCTACAAGAAGAGCAATTATATATATACCCACCAAAAATCTTTTCCTCTTCCAATATGGGACAATGTCTCATTGTCAAGAGGGGGAAACTTAAAATTTTACTCAAAAATTTTATTTTTCCCTCCATTTCCCATTCACCCTCATTTTAAGACTATTTCATCTTAAATAACAAAAACCTCAACATTAGTTACTAATACTTACAGAACTTTATTATTTATTCGAAAACTCGACTCTTATCTGTTGGAACCAATATTGCAAGAAATAAAAAAAATCAGTACATGCTCAAACTGTTGCATGATAAGTGACTTTATTCTTGTGGTCGAGCAGCGTGATATTTAATATTTGTTTCATTTACCCATGTTTTTTTACCAATTATTCTCTTCGCTTGACTTCAGCCGAAAGGAACAACACCTATTTTGCTACGCATATACTTTTTTTTAATTATATTTACATGAATCGTGTGGATTTTTCCTCTGTTAGATTCTGATTCTTTTTCCTAGATAGTTCTCAAATCAAAAATTACTTTGTGGGAAGAATTTGGAGAGAAATTCAATCCTTATTTGTATAAGAAGGATCTCGCCCGTACATTGTGATAGTAACTGCTATAACACTCAAAGAACTTTGAGGTATTTATTAGACTTAATGATCAATGTTATATATTCTAATATTTTGGAGTATGTTATAGCTATTTACTATTGCATTCATTGTCCTCAGGTGAAGTTAGCTTCATCACTACCTATGTAAGCAAAATATATGTAACTCTTCATATAGATAACATAACATCTTTGATCCTAAAGTTTTCTTCCATGTCCGCAGGAGTAGAAACTATTGAACGCTCTAATTTTAATAACATTCCAATTGAGGAAGAGATGTTTTTGAACCAGACGAATATTAAGGAGTTGTTGGAGTCTGATTGGAGCCCTGAGTTACAGGTTATTTTTATATTCTGCTTCTTAAATTTTTGTTTCCCGATTCTACAAGATACTTCTGCAATATATTTTTTTATTTTAAATTGTAGGAATACATTTTTATCTTGAGGGGCAAGATTTAAAAAATAGACAACTACAACTTTGGTCGGTACTATATTTCATCTAACACGTGCTTAAAGAAGATCGTACCTGCAAACGGTGTCTATAATTGTCACATTTGCAATAAGGAATGCAAGTTTATGTAATATCCCGTACATTCGGAGTAAGACGTGAACCGAACAACGAATGTTATGAGACTTGATCCCTAAAGAATTTTGGATGTATGTAAGTGAATCAATGGAAATTTCATTATTCGAAATGGTCACGTCCAAAGTCGAAGCGAAAGTCGCTCGTAGTTAAGTTTTGTAGAATGCATTTGAACAAGGTCCAACTTCCCGTGCATGTTGCGACCTGTGTATTTGGAGTTAGGGGTGATCTATCTATCGAATTAAATTTCTTTAAGTCTAGTTTCCAACGGCGCAAACTGTTCGTTGATATGACGTCGGAGTAAAACGTTATGCGTGTCTTACTAAGGACGTGCTCAATGCCCAATTGCTACGGGACATGTGGCGCCCAAGGTTAAGTCGGCCAAACCTTGTCTTTTATAAGATAAATCTTCGGAATCTCTCTTTCATTTTCATTATAGACCTTATGAGAACTGAATCTCTCAATTTTCTCTCCTCCTCACACTTTCCAAGGTCAAGGTAAGTGATATAAACACTTCACTAGTAAGATTTTTCCTCAAGAACATGAAATCTTACCCTCAATCCATCTTGGATTCTTGAATCAAGGTTTTCTTTTAGCAAAGTTCAAGTGATGAATTCTTAGTAAAACAGCAACCAAGGTGAGAAGGTTCCTTCTAATCATATATATGGATTCAAATAAGTATTTTAAAGTGCTTTCGATAAGGACTCAAGGAACGGTAATATGAAGCTGTGAGTCCAAACTTTGTGACTCATATGAGATGTGTAAGGGGCAGTTTTGTATGTTGTGGTGTATGGAAGATGTTGTTGACCTCGTAAGGGGATTTGTGTATTGCGATAAGTTAAAATAAAGGAAGGGTGTCGTGAAACACCATTATGAAAGGGCCTTAAAACCTCACGCCCACCAAATGTTCGACGAATTGTCCGAATGGCTTGCGTAGTGTTTGATTGCTAACACGAGGCTTCTTTTATTGTTATTATTATAGATGGAAGATGTAAAGGAGCATCTTGATCGTAGTATGACAACTATTAGGAACGAGGTATGTAAGGCTATTCTGTCTTTTCCCGCTAAGGCACGACTTATGTTTATTGTTTCTCTATATGAGCAATGAAGTCTAAATTTTACGAAAGCATATCGATTACATGTCATAGGTTCCATAAGTTAAGTAAGAGATGCGCCACGTGCTTATAAATCGGTACTTAATGTGGCTGTTCTATTCCTAGGATTAAGCTTTCAAGAATTACCGTTATTGGGGGTTATAGTACAGATTCTTATGAGCGTAAGAGCATTCAAGTGTCACTTTCAAGTATCATAGACTTTCCATTCGTATAAAGGATGGTCTTATTCTTATCGTTACTGATTTCCTTATGTGTTAGGTCCCAGTAACCGAGTCTCTTTGTAAGCATCATGTTCTTATTATTGAAGAGCTTTCAAGAGCTATCGTACCTCCTTAGTTAACAAGTTCTTGTAAGTGATCTAGCGTCTAATGTTACTAAGTCCACACGTTTTTAAAGTATTGTTAAAGGGCTATAGATCGTACTTAAAATGAGTGATGTCGATGGTTTCTAAGGTATTGTGGAAGGGCTTTAGAGCGTTATATAAAATGAATCATGTGAATAGTTTCAGATGTTTGTCGATGTGTCATAGGTCCAATTGATGATGAATTATATGAATGGCTCATAAAGTATCATTAATGGATTATAGTTCCTACTTAAGGTAAATCACGTCGGTCGTTTCCAGGTTCCGGATTATCGTCATCGGGTGTAGATTGATACGTAAGCTAAACTGTATTAATAGCTTTTAGACAATCGTAGATGGGTTGTAAGTTCTAATTAAGATGAACCACGTCGATAGCCTTCAAGTGATCATTAATGGGGTTATAGAGGAATCATGTTGATAGATTATGGATTACCGTTATTGGGTTATACTACCTTAAGATGAATCATATCGACAACTTTCAGGTGATCGTTGATGAGTTATAGATATCTACCTAAGGTAAATTGTATCGACACTTCCAGAAAGATCGTTATTGGGTTATGGTGTCGTACTTAAGACGAATGGTATTACTAGCCTTATGTGATTGTTAATGGATTATAGTTCCTACCTAAGATGAATCATACCGTTGGCCTCCAGAATTATCATCATCATGATATATTACTTAAGATGAACCATATCAGAATAGATGTTCCAAGGTTTTCCGGAGAATAAGATCATTCGAGCAATATTGTGAAGTGTCTTAGATTGTCTATTCGTATAATGGCAAAGAGTTCAATAGCAAGATGGCTTTATCTTCTTCCTCGGTGTTCACTCCGAGGTTGGCGATCTATGTGATTAGTCCGTTAAACACATTTAAATGTGACAAAAAATTCGCACCTTCACTCAAGTGTAGGGTGTATAGCTACTTCTTCAGGTACAATTTATTTGTCAACGTTTTGGACATGTATAGGCTTTCCAACCTTGTCCAAATACCACATGCGGTGTCTTCATCAATGATGTTATTTACCACATCATCTGATAAGTGCAACCTGATTGCACTAGCAGCCCTTTCATCCAAGTCAGTCTAATCCTCAGCTTTCATAGTATCAGGCATTTTGGCATCAGCATCTAGTACATTGTGTAATCCTTGTTGGATGAGTAGATCCTCCATCCTTCTTTGCCATGTTGAAAAATCGCTATCTCCATTAAATTTTGTTACCTCGTACTTTACTCCAGACATTTTTGTTTTTCAACGAGCATAGTACTACCGATAGTGAATAGTATGTTTGTGAATGAGCAAAATCTATGCTCTGATACCAGTTGCTGGGAATAAATCCCCACAGAAATAATATTCACGGTAATAAAAGCAGAATAATAATGTAGCACCGAGATACAGTAATGAACAAGAATAAAAGAGTGACAACGACACCAAGATTTTTACGTGGAAAACCCTTTTGAATAAGGAAAAACACCACGGCCTCGAGAGGAGCAACTGATTCACTATAGCAAGGAATTTTACACTCTGTAGGTTCGAGTAAAATATTCCAAAGACCACTACAACACTCAAAAGAAATAACCCTCTTTAGATATTCCCATCTCACTATAATATCGCTCACTCTCTATTTTTCTCATAGACTATTTTCTTATACCTTGTCTGTGATGCCTCACTCTTTCTTTCTCTCTTTGTTGTTGTGTTTTACAATGAGAGCAAGACACCTTTTTATAGTGTTTAGGATTTCTTCATTGATGTCATAAGCTTGGCAAGAGTCAAATATTCATTGTGAAACTAAGAAAATATTTGCGATAAAATCTTCCTTACTATTCCTTTAGTTGGCTTGACATTTCAAAGCCAAAGGAAGATGTCTCCCTTACACATGGGATGGACCCATCAAATCTCCCCCTCCAGTCTCATGCACCTGAAAGAGGTAACTCCAGTTTTTCATATAGAGTTCATGCCGACAAGTTCTTTGCATAGCTCGAACTTGTCTCTTGGTATCGTCTTGGTCAACATATCAGTAGGATTTTCACTCGTGTGAATATTTTTGACCTGTAAAGATTCATTTTCCACCTGATCACGAATCCAATAGTATCTCACATCGATATGCTTTGTTCTTGCATGGTACATGGAGTTCTTTCTCAAGTCTATTGCACTTTGACTGTCACAATAGACGAAATACTCCTTTTGATGCAATTCCAACTCTTGAAGAAAACGCTTGAGCCATATCATATCCTTTCCAGCTTCAGTAGCGGCAGTATACTATACTTCAGTTGTAGAGAGTGCGACACACTTCTGCAACTTCGACTGCTATGATATAGCTCCCCCTGAAAATGTGAACATATATGTAGTAGTAGATTTACGATTATCAAGATCACCTGCCATATCAGCATTCGTGTAGCCCTTCAAGATTGGATCCGATCCTCCAAAATATAAGCAATCTTCTGTGGTACCTCTCGGGTATCTCAATATCCACTTGACTGCTTCCCAATGTTCTTTTTCAGGATTTTCAAGGAATCTGCTAACAACACCAACTGCATGAGCAATATCTGGTCTGGTTCATACTATTGCATACATCAAGCTTCCGACTATTGAAAAATAAGGAACTCTAGCCATGTTCCCTTTTTTCTCTACTGTTGTAGGACACATCTTCTTGCTAAACTTTAGATGACCAGCAAGAGGTGTGCTGACTAGCTTAGCACTTTTCATGTTGAAGCGTTCCAGTATACGTTCAATGTACTTTTCCTGAGATAGCCACAACTTTCTGCTTGTTCGCTTTCAAACTATCTTCATCCCTAGAATTTGTTGTGTTGGGCCAAGTCCTTCAAATCAAATGACTTGGATGAATCTCTCTTCAACTTTGCAATCAGCTCCTCGTCTTATCCTACAATCAACATGTCATCCACATACAACAATAATATAATAAAGTTATTCTCATAAAATCTTTTGAATTATACACATGGATTAGAATAGGTCTTTATGTATGTTTGACTTTTCATGAATGAGTCAAACTTCATGTACCACTGCCTTGGTGCCTGCTTTAATCCATATAGACTTTTATTCAATTTGCATACCGTGTGTTTCTTTCCAGCTACTTCAAATCCTTCTGGCTACTCCATATAAATCTCTTCTTCCAAATCTCCATGAAGAAATATAGTTTTCACATCCAACTACTTCACTTCAAGATCTAGGCTAGCTGCTAAGCTCAAAATTGTTCGAATAGGTAAGAAACTTTCGTCAAAATCAATACCTTTCTTCTGTTTGAAGCCTTTAACCACCAATCGAGCTTTATATATGACCAACTTGCCATTTCCATCTTTCTTGAGTTTAAAAACCCACTTACATTTGAGGGGTCTTTTACCCTTTGGAAGTTCAACCAGCTTGTACATGCCATTTTTCTGTAGAGATTTCATCTCTTCTTGCATGGCTTTCATCCACTGGTTCTTTTCTGGATGGGACAATACCTCCTTAAGACTTTCTGGCTCCCCCTCATCACTGATGAAGACATACTCTGTGGAAGGGTAGCTGCATGACTCTACCCTTGGCCTTTCTGGTCTCCTCAGAGGTTGAAGTTTCTCTTCTCCCTGAGTGGGATGCTCCACTTGCTCGACATTTGCTCAATAACCTCATCAGGTTGCTCCCTCTGCTCGGCAACCTCGTCGGTCCTACTTTCTGCACTTGTGGGATTGTTAGAAGTAGAAGGAATAGTAACAAGGTTAGGAATTATACCATTCTTGGCCTTCTCTAACGTATCATCAGCAGTTCCAACTTCACTTTCTCGGAAGACTATATCTCTGCTTCTAATGACCTTCTTATTTACAGGATCCCACAATCTGTATCCGAACTCTTTATCTCCATATCCGATTAATATGCAGGGAACAAATTTATCATCCAGCTTTGTTCTTTTCTCCTTTGGTACATATGCAAAAGCTCTACAACCGAACACCTTCAAATACGAGCAGGACACCTCCTTGTTGGTCCAAACTCTCTCTAGGATGTCAAACGCCAATGGAACTGATGGACTCCTATTGATCAGGTAACAGGCTGTCTAAACCGCTTCACCCCAGAATGACTTAAGCAGTTTATCCATTCCAAGCATGTTTCTCGCCTTCTCAACAATGGTGCGGTTCATTCTCTCAGCTACACCATTGTGTTGCGGGGTTCCAGGAACTGTCTTTTCATGTCTGATCCCATGGCTCGAACAATACTCTTCAAATTCCCTTGAAGTGTACTCACCTCCATTGTCACTTCGGAGATGTTTTAGCTTTTGGCTTGTCTCCCTTTCCACCAAAGCATGAAAGTTTTGAAAAACTTGAAACACCTGATCTTTGGTTTTCAAAATATAAACCCATAATTTTCGTGAAGCATCATCAATAAAAGTAACAAAATATTTGTTACCGCTCATCGATTTAATTTCCATTGGACCACAAACATCAGAATATACCAAATCATGTATATTCAATTTTCTTTCAGACGATGTCTGAAATGAGACTATGATGCTTACCAAATAAACAGTAGTCATAAGGTTTTACCGTTGTACCTTTGGCATAAGAAATGAGTGATTTCCTGGCAAGAATATGTAATCCTTTCTCGCTTATATGACCCATTCTTTTGTGCCACAAATTTGCAGAAATCTCATCATGTGCCGCGTTCAATTCACCTTGGCATATTTCTGCACTTGTCCTGTACAACGTGCCATGAGTAACTACCTTTGCAATCACCAATGATCCTTTGGTGAGTCTCCACTTTTTCTTTGAAAAATAGTTCTCGTATCCATCTCGGTTTAAAGCAATTCTCGAGATCAAGTTCATCCTTAAATCAGGTACATGCCGCACGTCCTTTAGAATCAATGTGCTTCTGACATATGTCTTTATACAAATGTCACTGATCCCCGTAATCTTTGAGTAACTTGTGTTACCCATTCTCACCGTTCCAAAATCACCTGCTACATATCTACAAAAGATTTCTCTTATCGGTGTGGCATGGTAAGATGCTGTTGTATCAACCACCCATTCCGACTCTAGACCTGACACGTGCATGCATTCCTCTTCATTATTTATAAAGAGGACAACATTATCATTGTTTTGCACCATGGCGGTTGTGTTGTCGTCATTCTTCTAGCCACTGCTTTCACCTTTGCCCTTCCTTAGATTTGGGCAATCTCTTTTGAAGTGACCTGGTTGATCAAAATTGTAGCAATTTCTGACTCTTGATTTGGATCGGTTCTTAGACTTCCCACGAGCTCCGGTTGTACCAATGTTGCTCGAACTCCTTTGATAACTCCTGCCTCTACCTTCTGCTATGACAGTCAGTCCTTGATTTTCAGGCTTCTTTCTCATCTTCTTATTAAGTAGAAGAGCCGATGTGACGTCTTTCAACTCAATGGTAGTCTTACTGTGCAGGATGGTTGTTGCCAAATTATCGTACGGAGATGGAAAAGAGTTCAAAACCAAGTTGACTTTATATTCTTCCTCGGTGTTCACTCCGAGGTTGGCGATCTATGTGATTAGTCCGTTAAGCATATTTAAATGTGACAAAAAATTAGCACCTTCACCCAAGTGTAGGGCGTATAGCTACTTCTTCAGGTACAATTTATTTGTCAACGTTTTGGATATGTATAGGCTTTCCAACCTTGTCCAAATGCCACATGCGGTGTCTTCATCAATGATGTTATTTACCACATCATCTGATAAGTGCAACCTGATTGCACTAGCAGCCCTTTCATCCAAGTCAGTCTAATCCTCAGCTTTCATGGTATCAGGCTTTTTGGCATCAGCATTTAGTACTTTGTGTAATCCTTGTTGGATGAGTAGATCCCCCATCCTTCTTTGCCATATTGAGAAACCGCTATCTCCGTTAAATTTTGTTACCTCGTACTTTACTCCGAACATTTTTGTTTTTCACCAAGCATAGTACTATCGATAGTGAATAGTGTTTCTGTGAACGAGCAAAACCTGTGCTCTGATACCAGTTGTTGGGAATAAACTCCCACAGAAATAATATTTACGGTAATAAAAGCAGAATAATAACGTAGCACCGAGATACTGTAATTAGCAAGAATAAAAGAGTGACAACGACACCAAGATTTTTTACGTGGAAAACCATTTTGAATAAGGAACAAAATCACGGCCTCGAGAGAAGCAACTAATTCATTATAACACGGAATTTTACACTTTGTAGGTTCGAGTAAAATACTCCAAAGACCACTACAACACTCAAAAGAAATAACCCTCTTTGGATATTATCATGTTACTACAATATCACTCACTCTCTATTTTTCTTATATACTATTTTCTTATACCAAGTCTGTGATGCCTGATCACTCTTTCTTTCTCTCTTTGTTGGTGTATTTTATAATGAGACCAACACACTTATTTATAATGTTTAGAATTGCTTCATTGATGTCATGAGCTTGGCAAGAGTCAAATATTCATTGTGAAACCAAGGAAATATTTGCCATAAAATCTTCCTTACTATTCTTTTAGTTGGCTTGACATTTTAAAGCCAAAGGAAGACGTCTTCCTTACACATGGGATGGACCCATCACCTTATGCATTATGTTTAGACTGTCTAGTCTCTTTATAAGTGTCAAGTTTCTATAGTACAATATAGAGTTCCTTATGTTTGTCGATATGTTAGACTCCTTTTCATGAGAAACTTATACTTTATATGTTAAGGCATGTGCGCCCACAACTTTACGATTTCAACAGATCATATATGTGTTCAGACTCTGACGGTCTTGTGTTAAGGGTCATAAGGGTAGTAAGTATGTAATGGCTATCTTGTTTCCGTTTCCTTGGCATGACTCCATATCACATGTTTCCTCCTAAACGAATTGCTAAAGAACTAGATGTCATGAAGCTTTCATTCATATACTTGATATCCCTTATCTCCCTTCATCTGAAATTGATCCTATAGTATCTGAGCCTTCGTACAATTTCGTAGAATTCCTAGTGTTGTCAAAGTGTTTAGATTTCTTTATATGAAGGATCTGTAACATACTTATATCAAGGAATTTTTCACATAGATAACTACTTTAATAAGTAATGAACATGTTCCAGAAGTTAAGAAACAAGAACCTTGTTAAGTTACCATTATGTATATTTATCTATATGATATATGAAGGTCGTGCCTCGCACGAGGCCCAATAGAGTCTTGTTTATCTATACGATATATGAAGGTCGTGCCTCACACGGGGCCTAATAGGGTCTATTTATCTATATGTATAGATATAAAAGAATGCTTTCACGTGTTATGTGCCCTACGTGGCTTATTATATTCCAGAACTGAAAGAATCTACAAGTTAAGTAATGGTTCATGTTAAGATGGGACAACAGTGCTCTCCTCGGTCATATGACAACATTAAAGAATCTACACTGTTGTAGCTGTCCAAAATTCAATGCCTTTGTAGAAAAGATTTTATTTTCAAGCTAAGATTAAACAATTATAATTTGAAAGAGGGGCTTGATAATTTTATAATATCACAGGTTATAATATCACAGGTTATCATTACAGAAGAGAATTTAAAATTACAATACGAATCAAGGATAGAGAAAAAGGTATTATAATTTAGGTTATTTTAATTTGTGATCCACATTAATGTGTACTCTGTAAATAAGTTTTATTTCTGTTGGTTTTGCAGGGGAGAGACTTATTGGAGGTTGAAAATGAACCAAAAAAGCAAAAGACAAAAGGAATTATTAAAGAAAAGGTAAGTTGATTTAGAGTTTAATAGATACGTAAATAAACTTTCCTTTTTCAAACTTTAAAATTGGACATGTTAAATAGATATGTAACTTTTCTTTTCCAAAAAAATATACAGGGATCTGCTGATGTCTCATTGGATAACTTGAAAGACTCCGAGGAGGATAAACATATCATTGATGGTGTTAAGAAAAGAAAGAGAAGAAACCTAATCCTATATAATTCTATTATTTCCACTCAAAGTTGAAGCTTATATGTGACTTTCATTAATTTAAAGTTTCTGTTTTATTGTATCTTTTTTATTTTTGGGGACCCCTTTTAAATAATGTACTTATGAGAATGCAATATAGATAATAAGAGAGTACTTTACACTCTTTAATGTGTTACTTATTCTTTAACCTAATATTTTACCTTGAGCCAGAAGTGGTAACGTAAGTTGGGTTTAACATTTTATGTTGAGACAAAAGCTGGTAATTTAAGTTCTTGTTTCTCCTAGTTACTTGTGTTATTCTCATCACACTTTCAACAGGACTGGATTTGGTCAGTTGGATGAAACCCTTTATCCATCACTTCCCAAGGCTGGCATATCTCCAAATTCCATTCAGACACTATTGCTCGAAACTATGTATTGACTTCTCTGTGAAGAGTCCATTCAATTGGTCAGTTCGAATGTTCACCGCCTTGTTATGGAGCGGACATGTATCCTTTATGAATGGTCTATTTTGATGAGTACAAGTAAAATATTATTTTCACAGCATAATTTGTCGTTTTTGTGAATGGTTTCATTGGATATGTTCCACTAGAAGGTTTTGCAAATTGTCTTCAGCAGAGTGCATAAAAGATAGTATATTTTATCTGTTTGAATGGTGAATAGGGGCCTTTGGTGTTAATAGGTTTTATCACTTCTTCTGCATAATACAATGTTCTCTGCAAGTCAATTGTACATAAAATATTGAGTGATCTTTTGTTGGTTTGAACAACGGACAACTAGCTTTAAAAATTTTCTTCCTAAGTTAGTTGATGATGTTCTTACCGATCAGAAACAGTTGCTAACGTTTTTACATATAAGTTGTTCTTCGTAATTGCCCATTTAACAGAGTTTCTCTTTGTGGATACTTAATCTTCGAAAGCAGAACAAACTTTTAAGCTCTTCAAAATCCATGAGCGTGAGCTGGGGAACAAATACAATTATGTTGTTAGCTTGTGGGGAAGAGTTCGTGATTTACAGTTTTTACAATGTTTTGCCAAATACCTTTTTCTCAATTGTTTTGCGAGATAAATAGCACTTGGTGCACTATCATTCCAACCTCTATGGAATCAGAAGCGGAGCTAGATCATTACTTATGGGTTCGGACGAACCCAGTAATTTTGCTTAGATCTTGTATTTGTATTAAAAATTTCATTAAAGTTGTATGGATATCTAATTGTGAACCCAGTAAACAAGACTAGCTATGGATTCAGTGACAAGTTCAGAACCCAAAAGATTCAAATTTTGGCTCTGCCTCTGTGTGAAAGGATTTGTTTCTTATTTCAATCTCATTGATATGCATTTGCTGCATAAGTTAAAACGATATTTTTCAGAAATAGTTTGATCTTGTTGGTTTTCGTTGTCTTAAATTTAGCCTGGTTATGAAACCTTCTAGCCAATTTATTTCATGTTATGGGTCCCTCCTAGATTTCAACTGTCAGTGGGGAACTGTGTTATATGGATGCCTTGAGACTTCTCCATACCTTAGAGGATGCAGCAAAAGGGTTAGCATCTTTTGTTTGTTGTGTGACAATCACTGATGTGCTGCACTGCACTTACCCCCTACCTGATGACATCCTTATTGTTAGTCTTGTACTTACATGTGTAACCAATTTGAGATAGTACATTGAATACTTTATTTCACTGCATATGGGAGCCACAAGTGTATATGATATTTTACTGAGGATGATGCTTAGCAAACATTAAGCAACTTTAATTTGGCATGCAAAAGTGTCTTCACTTTTCACTCAACAAGTGTTTCTCTCCATTTGCTTGCTAAAAAGATCTTATCTATTATGCAGGTTCGTAAATTATGTTGATACTACTCTAGACAGTCTCCAATCAAACATTGCACCCGGCAGAGGAATGTTAAAGTCGAGTTTGACATGATAATATATGATACCTGCTTTCCTAGTTGTTTTCTTTGTTCTTTGGCTTGTTCTAATTAAGCCTAGAAGAGCCAAGCATAAGATCTAGTATTATTGCATCTGAGTTTTTGCACTGTACCATCAAGTCTTAGTTTTCATGTTTGTTGCTAATTACTGTAATTGTGGTCAGTGAATGCCTCAATACTGTGTAAATCCGAACAATGATCTCACAGGCAAGAGAAAGGAAATGCATTGGCTCGATGAATGATTTAATTTGTATATATTGATAGTACAAGAAGACTTTACACTGCCAGTAAATTTTAACCAGTTATAATATTTTATTTACTTCATTCCTTAGATTACCAAATTAAAATTACTACAGTTTATACTACTCACCTATTGTTATAAGTCATCAAGTTATGATGGCTCACACAAGTTAAATTCATAATAATTTTGTAAACAAAGGTGTAATTCCCACAAAACACAGCAGAAAAAGAATTTAAGTTGAAGTTACCTTTACACGTAAAGTTGAAGTCACCTTTACACGTAATTATAGTATAAATAGTACCAACATGACTTAGAGAGCTCCATATTCAAAAAATTATATTAACACAATAAATAATTGGTATACAACTTTCCACAAAGAGACATGATTAACAAGTTCAAGCCCCTTGGTCTCGAGTAGAAAGAGCAGAACGCTTACTGCTGATAAAATCAAAACCAATTCAAATAATATAATTGCAGCCATCTGGGTAACCTCTAACCAACTGAGACCAAATTTAAATAACTTAAACTATAATGATAGAAATATCTCAACAACAATCGCGAGAAATAAATCTTGTATCGGGATCACCATTCCTAGGAGTAATAGAAGCATCGCACAAACTAGATGTCCCATTGGGATTGGGATCATCATTCCTAGTTGTAGTAGAGTAAATTAGCAACATCTCAAAGCTAGCCAAATAATTACAAATATATTCCAATAAGGTTTTAACACAAAATGATCCTTAGCTTATCTACTAAGGAAGCTACTGTCACGCCCCAAACTCGAGGAGCGCGACCGGCGCTCAACCGAGAGAACCTGCCGAGCAAGCCTGCTAGATTTTCTTTTACCTAAACTCATCCATAAATAAATAGGAGGTGTACTCCATTAATCAAACACTAAAAAGATTTTATTAACAACTTCCTTTTCATTCCCATTAGCAGCTCCATTCATAATTTTCAAAATATTACGAGTTTATAGAAATAATGAAAAATATGATTTTCAAATACCAATATTTCTAATTCAGTTCCCCAACATCAACCACAACTCACAACTTGTCTACGGAGCCTCTAAGTACAATAGAAGAGTAATATGGAAATACCGGCAACAAGTCCCCAGCTATACCTCAAAACAAAGTACATAAGAAACAAAAGATACATGACCCCGAAATGAAGTAGGGATCACCAAATCAGCTGAAAAGAGTGTATTGCTATCACTGATCAATGTCACCTGATGTAGAAGCACCTGCATCCATTAAAGATGCAGCACCCCCGGCAAAAAGGACGTTAGTACTGTCGAATAGCACTAGTATGTATAGCTAAAAGTCCTCTTTCAAAATAGAATGCCCATATAAGAAAAGACAACACATAGAAACAACAAGTCACAATCAACAATATCCAAATGTCCAGTTATAACATAATAATTTTCAAAATACGAACTTCATACAATTTTTGGTTGGGAGATCATTAACACTGATATACCACTGTTCAAAATATCACCTTTTACAATACCAATACCACCGTACTTTTAGCATGGAGTCTGATCACGACCCGATCGGCTAGGCCATCTCATTAGAGACATCAACCACAATCACTCTCAATACCAATACCAACATACTTTTAGCACGGAGTCCGATCACGACCTGATCAGCTAGGTCATCTTATTCGAAGACATCAACCACAATCACAATCTCAAGCACAATCACAATCTTTGTGCATATATACCACCGTGAATCTAGCACGGAGTCCGATCATGACCCGATCGGCTAGGCCGTCTTATTTGAAGACATCAATCAAAATTACAATTTCAATTATAATTTCCAGCACAATTACCACTATGTGTGCGACATGGCGTCCGATCACGACCCGATTGGCTCGGCCGTCTCACCACAATGCCGTGTGCATTGACACCATCCTTTTCTATCAATCAAACTCATCCCAATTAAGGGAAATAATTTTATCACATCAATCTCATACCAAATAAGGGGAATAATTCACAAAAATAACATAGGTACAAATGTATTTACCTCATCATCTTTCACATTGTATGAATCTCCACTAGTATTTTCAACCATTAACAACAACAATATTCCCTTGGCTCTTTTGGCCATTCACAAAATTCTTTATTCAAGGCACGATGGCCGTATTTGATATTCCACACTTTTATTTCTTCCCTCTCATGTATCACCATCATAAATATCAACATATATAATATTCCGAAAATTACAACTTTAAGTTCATTATAAATGAACAATTTAAGCACAATAGATTTCTTTTCGAGAAATGAAGTAAAATAATTGGCAACTGATGCGCAAATTAAAATCATCAACAAGTAACACACAATTTATTCTTGAAATACTTTTCCCCAAAAAGGGCAATACACAATTTCAACTTATGAATATATAGGAGTTCATAACACGTTGGAAATACTTACAAAGCATAGCATTAATTGAAACAACCACATTTGGGCACGACATGAGTACATAAGCCTTTAGGCAAATCTATTTTCGAAGTCAATTTGGAACAGTTGAATCAAGACTCATTTATCAACCTTTCTCACTTCATTTCATTTCATTGGCACCATTGGCCACAAGTATAACTTTCATTCTTGGCACGTTGGCCACACGTTATATCCCCAATTCACTTATTTCACTTCCAACCATCTTTATGGATTATCAATAATATGACATTTCCAAATCAAGACTTTAGGTACACATATGAACAATTAAGAGTTTTAAGAATATTGAGATTTTCTCACACAATTTGGCATACTATCTTTCATTTAAAATACGATTCAAAGCCACAACATTTTAATATACAATCCATACTTTGAAACTCACGGGAACATTATGGAATTCGATTCTAAGAGAGAAAGTTTAACCAACATACCTGGAATTCGCCCCTTAATGATACTACAATGATCCACTACACTAAGCAACTTCAATCTACAATAACAACATCCAATGGAACCAATATTAGTAACAAATTCCATAATTTACGCTATTTAGACATTTTATCAAACACCTTGCAGGCATGAATCTTTACACCTCTTAACTATAGAATTAGTTCATCCAACTACTACCATTTACCAACAATTTATCCCACCATCATTCTTAAACAATTCATAACTTCCACCATCACATACATGACCATCCATCCACACCCAACCAATAAAATTCCATCAAATAATCACCTTTCAATCTCTACAATGGTTATATATTTAAATTGGAAACTTATGGCTTTTAATCACCATACTATATGTTACAATACTTAATTCATACTTATATTCCCATAATATATCCATACATATAAGTCTAATGGTGTAGGATTACCTTTTGGAAGAAATCTTGCAAAACCCTCCTTTGAGTTTTTGAAGAAATTTCTTGAAGATCTATGTATTTTATGTGTAGATTTCATCAATACTAGTGTATAAATGATGGAATTTAATACCAATATAATGGGGATTGCTTACCTTAAAGAATAGGGGAGTTGGTGGTCTTGAGAGAGTGGAGAAGAGCTCCCAAATCCGTCTAAGTGAAATGGGGGAAATGAACCTCCAAGGTGAGTACTTAAGGGAAAATCTTCAGGTAGGGGTAGCGTGCCCGTGCCAGCGCAAAATGCCTATACTTCACTGGTTTTCAAAGTTGCTGAGAGGGTTGGCGTGCCACAATCCACGCCTTGCACTGTCCCTAGCACGCTCCCAGTTATTTTCTTTTCGATTTCTTGCTTCTCCACTCACCCTTAATTGATAACTTGCTACGATATAGACCTGAATTGACTTCCAAACCTTCATGTAAGTATGAAACTATGTTAACATAATAACATTCTTTCCATTTAATGTATCCAACTTGTTACACCCAAGAGCATTGCCACAAAATACCTGTAGAGACTAGCCACATCATAAGTACCCAAAGAACCGATTATATCCATTACTGTGCTTACCCAACCTACTACCATGCCGTCCTATTTCTCCAAGTCCCTTCCAAATTGCCTTTGAGTTGATACTTCTCCTTGCTGGAGCACCACAATCCTTAACCAAAATTCACCACACAAGAGGCCCTAGTATAAAACCACCATGCCCTAAGGCCCATAAGCCACTGACTTCCCTCGTAAGCACCCCAAAGCGCCACAATCGAGATACCCACTCTAAAGAGACCTTATGGGAACCTAAAATTGTTTCCTTTACCTTTTTGATACTGAAATGCATAATCCACAATGATATAAAAATGTCATAAGTCTCGACACCATTCCCTGCAAATATCAGATCCTAGCCATATACCAATCCGAAATTCTCAATTTCTACATATAATTCTTGAATCCATTAGAACCATTCTCGAGAGTCATCCACTCTACTCAAATCTCAATTGAACCGACCAAATGAACCGAACGACCTGTGCCCCATTAGTACACCAACACCCAAGGGAGTAGTACACACTTATAAGAAATCAAGAAAATTCCTACTCCATGTACCCTACATACTTCGCGAATAACCACTCAATTATTTTATGATTCCCATATACCCATAGAGCGTAATGCAACATGTATCCAGAAATTTCTTTACCCGAGTCATCCTCGATCTAGACCTCTGTAAGTCATAACTGATTCACCAATATACCCCGAACCGAAACCAATACGACACATAACCATGCAAACAACTCATCGATATCAAACTCCCCCACTTGGCTCAAAGCAATAGAACAAAATGGTTAATAACATCACGATACCCATACTCTATTACTGCCAGAATCCCGCACTGAAATTCAACTAAATCCTTCGCAAGCCCATGTAACAAAAAACCATATAATACCTCAAATCGTCTGCAAATCTCACATTCACCCTTGTAATAGTCAAGCCAACTTCCACAAGTGATCCAAACTCAAATTGCAACACATATCATTCACTGGTAAAAGAGAACTCTCTACAAAATATCATAAGGACCACACAACCTCAGGACACCTCGTAGGAGATAACCTGCTTACTCTGCCTCAAATCAACATCTCTCTATACCCTCCCACAGT